TTACCTCTTAACCCGTCGATGGTGACGTTGGAAACTCCGATGGATTCGTAGATTGCGTCAGCCTTCGATCTCCATTCGGGAGTGAGACTCCTCAGGATTTTCCTCACAAGATCCTTGTTAGCGTAAGTCTTCTTGAGTGCATGAAGGTCGTTGATGATCTTTGAAAACCGATCGAACATATCATCGATCTTTTCGCCTTCCTTCATCCTGAACATCTCGTACTCCTGCGTTAGGAAGTCAATTTTGGCTTCCCGAACTTGGTCCGTACCTTCATATGTGACCTCCAGCTTGTCCCACATTTCTTTTGCAGTGGTGCAGCAAGAGATCTTGCGATAATCATCAGGATTGACTGCACAGTACAGCATGTTGATTGCCTTGGCGTAGTTCTCCACCTTTTTGATATCCTCGGCATCAAATTTGTCCTCGGTCTTTGGGACGAGTTTTTCACCGACCTTCTTCGTTGGAGTTTCCTCGCCATTCTTGATGACCAACCACAACTGAAAGTTGGTTGAGCGGATATAAATTCTCATCCGTTCTTTCCAAGGGTAAAATGTAAATTATTATTACCCCAAATCAGAACGGTACCTCAATGTCAAATGCTGAACCATAGAAATGGTTCCGTGCATGTAATGAATACAAAAACAATACAACAGCAATACAACAGTACAACCACTTGGCACGCAGGCCATACAAATAACCAGTCAAAACAAACATCAAGGTGGTCAAACACAACAACTAGTAAACCCCATCCAGGCTCTTGTGGACATTCCAATACCCCGTATCACCAGGCAGTAGTATGGTAGGCCAAACCAGAGCATGGAGGGAGTATATGTTGGTGGCATCACAAGCCAAGCACATATACTCCCTCTCCAAGGACTCAATCTCACGAACACGCGATCCATCAACAACATCCAAGGCACTTCAAAGATCATTCCAATGTGTGTCATCCATCAAATCCATCCAAGGCAGGTGCTCAGTTATTTTTGCCATAGATTCAGCCAGTAAGCCAAGGGGCCCATCCCCGAATGCCAGAAGTTGTCCACCATCGTCACGAAGGGAAAAGTCCAAAGTGACCCTACTCTGCCATACAGACCCCTCCCCTAGGTCTACGGCCAGAGTGCCCCCCAGGTATATGGAAAGCATCCCCCAACAGACGAAGTAGAAGTTCACTAGTAGTCTCATAAGCCTTCATCTAGTATTGCCCTCGGTTGAGTTCAGAAACAACACGTAGATAGGAAAGACCCAACGAAAACAACCTCCTCAACTCAAGAAAAAGCCCAGTTAGCTAGAAGATCCACTTCATAGCTAAGATAGCCCAAAGTCTTCCAAAAACCCCAACCGACAGGGTCAGGAGAACCTAAGGGCGGCCTGCCAGGAGGACCAAACTGGCAAAAGTAAACATCAGACCCATCTCAAAATGAATTGGGATTCCACCAGAAATGAGGCCAATCCAAGTGTAAAAACAGCCATGGTTCCACACTCCTAGAGCGAGAAACACATGGGCCAAATTCACACTGAACATCACATGAATTATAGCTCACCAATAGCCCAGAACAACCAAAAAACCAGTGCCTAACCATGCTGTGATCCAGCCCAATGAAATCAGGCCAAAAACACCCAAGAATTATCAAAATCCAGCTGGTTTGAGAACTTACTACCCAAATTCTGTTTATGGGCAGCATGGCCTGCTTCCATTCCACAAGTAAAGCCACAAACAACAATCAAATAAAAAACAGTTACCCATCAGGAAATTCACTCCAACAGCCATCAAGCAGCAGCACCGTGACCACAACTGACATAGTAGGAGTGCCCAAACAACCCTGAAGTCATCCAGCCACTGTCTAGCATTTTCCCACTGTTTGGTGCAAAATGCAGTACCAAAAATAGTGGACAGCTGAGCAATACCATCTGTGAATCACCCAGCCACTGTCCAGCATCCAAAAACAAGACCCAACCATTGTTTCAAGCAAAGGACGGAAGTGCCAAGTGACCAAGTTGCCCACAAGGACCAACTCGCAGTGGACAGCTGAAATGCCATCTTTAGTCCCATGTTCAAACACAAACAGCTTGAGGAAATTCCATCCCAAAAGTCCTTCCCCAAACTTCACAGCAAAAACACCCAAACACATAGCACACACAAGCAAAATCCACCCCAAAAAGAATTTGCAGGAACAACGACAAATTCAAGTTAAGGCAATCCAAGAGAGTAATGTCAATCATTGAGATAACTATGCAAGTCCACACACAAACACGTATTCAAAGAGAACCGCAAAGACTGGACCCAAAAACCAGTGACAATCGCACACCATCATCGCAGAATGAACAGTGAAATTCGAATTTCAAAGTTCCAAAAATCCAATGAAAAGCAAACGATTGTGGAAGCCACCAATATACCTCAAAAATGGATTAAAAATCGCCCAGGATTTCAGAAGGATAGCCATCAAAAGTGCTTCAATCGCCATGAATCAAACGAAAAAAATCGCGAGTGCACAGTAATTTCGTAGGCGTTGACCTTCGTTTCCTCAAAATTCAGCTCAAAAATCAGCAAACCAAGCTCTAATACGGAATCACCAGCTGAAGGCGATCCTAGAGTATCAAAAATCTGAAGCTAAGACCTCAAATCCATGGAGTAATCGTCGATTCCCCCTCGCGGCTACTGTTCATCGCGCGGCTAGAGAGAGAAAGACGTCCGACTCCATTTCATTTCATCCGTTCTTTCCAGTATGTGTAGTTGGTGCCATAAAAAAGCGGTGGCCTAGAGGTTGATTGACCTTCTCCAATTCCTGCATAAAGATTTCTAGAAGAAGAACCCATGATCGCTTTACTCTCAAACGGTTAAGTTTGGACGCGAGTTAGGCTCCGATACCAATTGTTAGAATAAAAGACCAACGCTAGAGGGGGGGTGAATAGCGTTTGATCGTAGAAATCGCAGGATTTAAAAAATCAAAAGAGAAGTAAAGAGAAGAGTAAGAGGCACACCGAATGTTACCCTGGTTCACCACAACTTGTGGCTAATCCAGCCTCCCGAGAGACTCTTTCGAGCTACACTACTATCTCGTTAAGCTTGCGGGTGCTTAACAAACCGTTACAACTTGAGAGTTCGAGTCACCCGAACCTCAACGAATCCTTCAAAGGAAACAGCCCTTCCTTTGAATCTACCGAGAGAAATACTTTCTCTCAAAGTGTCTAAGAACACGAATACACTCAAGAACGAGACTCTCTTATAGAGTAGATTTTGAGTAAACTAAGTGCGCTCAAGAACAACTCAACCTTCACACAAAAATGGCTCTAGAAAGCTATGGAAAGTGATGATATTTGAATGCAATGAAAGTATGAATGTTGTGAAGTGAATTGGTGTGTAAAGCAAACCCAAACACCCCTTTTTATAGTGCAAAAATAGGCTCCAATGGACCAATGCATTAACGGGGTGATTGGCTTGATTTATGGGATTGAAAAGGTTTGGGATCTGCAGAATATTGGCTTCCCATCGATGTTTGGAACCTACCCATCGCTGGTAAGCCAATTTTCCTTTAGTTTTGAAGCCAACGGTTACCTACCCATCGATAGGTACAAGCTTCCCATCGCTGGGTGGGAGGTTGACTTCCAAACAAGGAAAGAATCAATCTTAAATGACCTACAACGGTCATCCCTTCCCATCGATGGTATATCCTTACCATCGCTGAGTTCCCATCGATGGGATAGGTTTCCCATCGCTGGGCAAGGTCGTTCTACCTTGTGATAATTTGGCACCAAGGCTTGAACAGCGATGGGTGGAACTTCCCATCGCTGTTTGGCATGGTTCTGGAAATTGGTTTGGCTAAGGGACCGCTTACCCATCGATGGGAAGATCTTCCCATCGCTGGGTGGATGGTTAGTCAAGAACCCATGGTTTTTGCCTTAACCACGGCCTAGCCAACCGATGCAAAAACCGACCGAAAAATCCAAAGTTCTCCAAAATAAAAACCAAGTGTTTAAAAAACTTATTTGATGTATTTTTCTAAGAAATTAAGTAAGACACTTTAAAAACCACGTCATTTGAGTGAAAACCACGGCTAGCCAAGTTCATGCCGTTTTGAATGATTTTTGTCAAACGACCAAAAGCGAAAGATGGTTTTCAAAGTGTTTTTGTTGGAGAACCATTTAATCATGTCAAAGAGTGAAAACCAATAATAAAAAGTTGAAAACCACTCGGTTGGTTCGGACGCCAAAAACCATAGCCGATAACCGAGAGCCGAATGCCGGTTTCTGAAACCCGAACGCTGGATGGCTTGGTTTTTGGTTTGGGTGAACACCAAGAGTTTTTAATGACTTAAACAAGTTTGAAAAACATTTTTATGATGTAAGAAATGCAGTGAAAGGTTTTAGCCTAAAGAGCCAATGCGTGAGGGTTGGGTCGGTCTTGATTACAATTATGACCGACTCAACAATACTAAAGACTGCGGTCTTCGTTCTTGGTCTCTTTTAGCTCTTGTTCTTTATCTTCGTTCTTCGCCTTGTATATTCAATGTTTGTCTTGATCACGGCGGTTTGGCATTATCAAAACCTGTTACAAAAAAAAACGAACACGGCTTTAGTACGAAAACGTGACATGCCCGTGTTTCAACAG